TTTTATTCACAGCTATTTGTGTGCATGTATTCTTCAGGCCTAATTCCATGCTGACATCTTACAAGTGAGCACTAACTGGGTCACAGACCTCTTCTTTATTTCCTCTTCCGTCTATTAGTTCTTTTCTTACATTTCTTCTGGCAGTTCCTCCTCTCCCTCCCCACTTAGGCAATGGCTTCTATTGAAATTGAAGATGTTCTTGCATCTGCTGCCAATACTCACATTGCCTCTGAGTCTCTTCCTCTTTATTCTCTGGCTTACAGGGAGCTTCTTTCTTTTGCTGCCCTCTCAAATTCCATTTGATCTACTTTTCCTCCTTGAGTTTTCCTTTCTACCATCCCCCTCCACATGGCTGTCGTTGGCAGCTATCTGATTATATTAAAACCCTGTTAAAGGCACCCATTCCCTGATGAAAGATGATATATTGAGTTATATTGTAACATCCATTGTTTAATTTTACGATTAGGTCTTAAGCGATATAAGAAGAAATTGTCTTTTTAAAAATGAACAGGCCAAGTTCTGCACTGATGTAAACCCCCTTCAACTCACTGAATTTAATGGAGTTGTACCAGGGTTAAATTAGTTCAGGATTTGACTGTGTGTGAAACCAAATGCCAGCGCTCAGTAATAAAGACTTCCATTTTTTATTACAGTCTTGTTTGCACTGCAACAAACAAACACACGCACCATGGGAAAGGACCGTGGGCCTGCTCCTGCTCCCATAGAAGTCAATGGAAGTTTTGCCACTGATTTCCCTGGAAGCAGTATTGGGCCCATTTTTTAAAGAGCCATGCACACCTATGGCGCTGGGGCCATGCACACCTATGGCGCATTAATAAAACAGAACACCTGCACTGTATACTGTACACTCATAGCACTGTATTTACCGTACAGTTACATTAGACCAAGAGGTTCCACAGCCAAAGCCTAATGCCCATTTGATAGCAAGGCACTTCTCCCCCCTTCCAGGTCTATGGAACACTCTCAGTCAATTATTGAGAGCTAGATGGTACCCAGTTACAGTGCAAGTGTGCAAAGGACGCGTGAAGCCCTTGCATCACTTGCATCTCCTCTACAGGGATAAGACACAATGGCTACCTCTCCAAGTTCCCCTGTAGACTCTAGCCACCCCAAAAGGGGTTGGCTGGATGCATCCACCCTCTCAGGGAGGTAGCAATAGGCATAATCCCCATGCATGTTGTTAACACTGGAAGATGTGCCTTTCCTGAGTTCCTCCTTTCTCTCTCAGGTCTTCTCATACATTGCTCTGTATGTATGCTATAACTTTGCTTCACAAAATGACTGTGTCAGCACTTCCATGGTGCCTGAAGCCTTAGGGCTGTATTAGCATGGTGTAATTCTGGAGTATTTACACTGATTTAATTAAGAGCAGAATTTGGCTCTTTCTCTGTGAATTAGTATGAGCACAGGAGAGTAAATTCTTCAGTGCAGGGATCATGCCATATTTGTTCTGAACAGCAGACTTTCTGGGTTGATCTGTGCAGAGCATAGTTGATTTTACCACTCCCCTGTTCCTGTTTCTGCTCTGTTCAAGGCTATTCCCCTTTCACCAGGTCAGAGCAGGGCTGCTCTTAGACCTGCTCTAAGTAGTCCCAAGAATCCAAAACTGCAGCCAAATCTAATTAGATTCACCCTTACTCACAAAACCATTTGTAAAATATGTGGTCAAAAGTTGGATTAGGAACTTGACTCTGGTCTTGTTGGTATTAGTATAAATCTGAGTCAGTGGAATTATACCAGTCAAACCAGAACCAGGCACCTAATTTCTATCTTGTATCTTTGACACAGTATTTTCTACCTCCTAACAAATTACAAACATTCTCACCGTGTTAGAAACCAAGGGCTTATTGTACTGCTTTAGAAAAAGCAAAGATCCTGAACCTACCTGAATCTGCAGTCAAGGAAATGTGAAAAAAATGACTTAAACACCCTTATATTGGTTTCTAGTCTGAGACATGCATCCACCCCAGCAGACATTTTCCAAGTGCATCTGACTCTCAACCGGACTCTTAGCTGCTCTTGGTTTCAGTATTGCTCCACAGTTTTCCATAGCAGTTTATTATTCCTCTTATACTAATCAGATGTTTTATGAAGTATGTAATTCTCTAAACTTCACAGAGAGGCATATCGTAGTTTAGCTGGTTGGATGTTCCGAGATGAACTTCAGACTCTAAGATCTAAACTGTGTTTTTTTTTCCTGCATAGAAATTGGATAATGTGTACTAGCTGAATGCTGGGACAGATCCTTTCTTGTAGCAACAGTAACTAACTCTTGGAACTGTTCCTTGCTCCTAAGTGACTGCAGTTATTTTAGGGCTGGTGGTTTGCAACACTCGTTATGGTTTACTAATGAAACCAAATTGGTGACCTTTCTCCTTACCAAAAAAATGATAACACGCAGATGTACAAAAACCCACATTCATGTGCAGTTTTATTGGTGCATTACAACATTACATTTCCTTCACATTAAGAGAGCATGAAATTAAAATACACCGATCCACAAAAATGCTTTCCTTACGCTGACATGCACTGGTAATTATAGCTCCTATGGACCTTTCTGTAAGTTTCATTTTATTACATTTTTCATAATTTTAATTACACCTTAATCCAAGCTTTTACATGGGCTGTTTTATTACTTTCAATTTAATTGCAGCCATTAAAAATACTTTCTTTGCTGCATTGCAAAGTCTTTTTTACCCATTTATCTTTCAATATAAGTATTTATGGTGCACAACATTTCATATTCCAGCATTTTCACAGTTGCGTTTCTTCTAAGTGCTCTGTCAGCCTTTCCTATCCCAACTAACAAGGGGACTATAGCTAACTTGGATCAAAGTCCATTAAAATAGTGGGAATTTTTACAGCACATTTAGGAGGCCCTACTCATTTTTTAAGAATACACCAAATGTATATAAAAATGTGTAAAATGCACTATACTTCAATAATAAACTTTCAATTTGAGTTTAAGAATTTTTTAAAGATTTGCATACATGCCAGAAGCCAAGTTTTTCCACTAAAAGACAAAGCTAATGGAAAAATCCTACAGAATTTATAGAAATGATAACTTTGCTAGTTTTTTTAATCATCCTATATAAAATTATATCCTTGATATAGAATTCTATAGAACGGTGTAAAAACTCTCTAGCAAGGAGGTAATTCTTTATTACATTTGCCTAGGTTTCTAGAGTAATGACTGGTCTACTATAGCTGGGTTTGTTGGTAAAGCTATACTGGGAAAACCTGCCTAGTGAGGATGCAGTTAAACCGGCACAACTATGCTTATATTGGTTTAATTTATGTGAGGGCTGATCTATACTTAGCCGCTAGTTCGGCGGCTGGAAATCGAACTTCCGGGTTCGATTTATCGCGTCTGGTCTGGACGCGATAAATCGAACCAGGAAGTGCTCGCCGTCGACTGCGGTACTCCAGCTCAACGAGAGGAGTACCGCGGAGTCGACGGGGGAGCCTGCCTGCCGCGTGTGGACCGCGTCTGAACCACGGTAAGTTCGAAGTAAGGTATGTCAACTTCAGCTACGTTATTCACGTAGCTGAAGTTGCATACCTTACTTCGACTTGGGGGGTTAGTGTAGACCAAGCCTAAGTTTGAGGAACTGGCATAAGCTATAGTGGCATATAAAAACAGTCATGCTGGTATAATTGTATCTACACTAGGGCCTATAGCACCAGTATAGACCAGGCCTAATTTCTATAGAACCCCTATTGGTCTCATCCCTATTACATTTTCTATGACTTTTCCATAAGGTCATTTCCTATTAATGTATATTTCACAATGTTGTATATATTTTCATTAAATGAGTTTGGCAGCATTCTTTTGCATGCATTCTTTTTATTTAGAAAAAGGGTTCATAACTTGTTTTTCTTCTATAAAAATTCAAGTGTTGCCAATCAGGGAACAGCTCTTCTCAAAAAATCTACAAAGTGTACCTTTGACAAAAATAAATGACAAGCCTTTACACTGAGACACACAGCTTTTTTGAATCACAAAATGCCTACAAGGCCAATACATATTCCAACAGGAACACGTTAGTTATAAGGTAGCTATGGCACCGGTCTCCTCCAGTCTAAAGCACCATAATGGATATTGTTGATCAAAGCGGTTATGATCACCTTAACGAGCTCATCTAGCCAAGGAATGTTCAACTGTCAGGATGTGATTTTTAGAACATTTTACCTGCTCTTTTATAATCCATCTATTAAAGGAAATGCTGGAAGCTGACACTTTGCCATTCAAAGGTACATCATTTCACTGGAGGGTGATATGTTTTTAATATGGCACAGTGCATGAATAATGAATGGAAACCTAAAAAAAAATAAACTAACATAGGTTGGTCATACACATGGTTACCTCCTCTGCACCTCATCGAAAGCCTACTGGAATACTATGAAATGATTCCCATTGACTTAATGGGCTTTGGATCAGGCGGCAAGATGACCCTTACAAATGCTAGGCTTAGGAATATGATGAATTGAAAATGGGGAAATGAGCAAATAGAATATTTTTCTCAGAAGTCAGCCAGGCATATTACAGTGCTGGAAACTGACGGAAGCATTCATACATGTGAAACCAATGCTCATGAACCAAAGTCCTTACATTCCTTAAGTTCACAACCAATGCTGGAGTGTCTCATTAGAGACAGTTCTACCAGGACAGCGGTGGCACATTGAGATTCACAGAAAACATGGTGTTTCTTCAACTGCGCAGTTTTAGGATTTTTGCTTGTTTGTTTGTTTTTAAGATTGCAGCTTGTTGTCTGTCGTGGGAGTTGCTGCAGTTTCATTCAATTTTGAAAATAATTACTGTCCGAGCTCTCAGAAAAAAATGCTAATATTTTAATACCCAGTTTCTAATCCAGCCTATGAACATATGATATGGCAAGCTGACAATTTCCACAGATTTGGCTCACTCTGCTGTCAGCTTCATCCTCCAAAACCCTTGATGTGAGTAGACTTGGCTCTTGCTCTTCATACATTTCAGCAACTGTTTAATTACCAGCTCAGAATAACCCTGCCAAAACTTGACAACTAGCACAAAGCATTCACATCATGTGGAAGATTTATTATGTTAGAAGACCACAACATAAACATAAGGAGGTTGCCCCTTATACATCAAATTACATAAAGAAACAGACCAAGGGCTGAATATGGCAGTTGCTGAAAACCTCCTGATAGTGATGACCGCACTCAACACCTACTGAAGTCACCGATGGTTAAGGACAATCTATTTCCTAGGAGGCGCTCAGCATCACACAACATCCACTGTTTTCAGATTGACTGTATATTCAAATACCTCTCTTTCAAAACTATTCAGTTAACTAGCTTGGATTTGGCATGTTCTCTCTATTGACACTTTTTTCCTCTCTGGATTTTTTTTTGCTCTGGTAACGGACTGAAAACAGACAGCTGGACAAAACAGTATGTATTGAAAACTGAACCTTAAAAGTAAGAGGATGTTACTGTATGAAAACGAATATCTTTTAAAAAAAAATCACTGCCCAAATGTACTGTAGGAAACATCATGTTAAGAGACCAGTTGGGAGGAATGTGAGAAGGGCTAAAAGTTCATTGTGCACATTTATTAGTCATACTGGTCCTTCAGTTATTCCCTCTAGAGGCAGGCCGGTAGCATTATCTGCTGTAGGTCTCTCTTCTTTCTTCGTTGAGGTCTGAACTAGGAGGCTGACGTAAGGTTTATGGCAAGCCATGTTACCCAAAGGTGGGTAGTGCTGTCTGTAGCAAATATAAGCGAAAATTAGGCCAATGATTCCTCCGACAAAAGCATCTAGGTAGGAAAAGCAACAAAAAAACCAAGCATGTTAGTGTTGAAATAGCAGCCAATATTGATGGGGGCGGATGGGGGGGAATTAAAGTCTGCATCCAAGAGGTGCAGAATGTTTCCCTGGGTGGAAGCACCCTGCATCCTTTAATCTGCTCCTGAATTTATCCTCATGCAGTGCACTCACAAGGGAGACCCAAAATAAACCCGATGGGTTGCTGCCCAGGAGATGGCACCCTTGTCCAGGGGCAGGTGGGTGGAGTCCCTATGAGGAAGTCTTTACAAAACATTCCCTTTGTGCAGGGAACATCATGAAGGCCGTGGGTGGCGTGAGATGGATGGAATTCTGCATTGCCCCTTTGCATTCCCTACAAGAGTTTTGAGCTGCCAAATCCATCTGGCTTTAAGAATCCCTCTTTGACCCCCAGCCTGCTATCTATAACTACGTACTGACCAATGTATTTGGGGCTTGCACAGAGCCCCTGCATCCAAGAGCCACTCAGCACCTTGCACTATTGGGCCCTAACAATATTTTGCACCTTTAATATCTTTTAACCATTGTCTTCTAAATCCAGGGTAGATATTCTCAAAGCTGCTAAGCTACATGGATACTCTATCCACAAAATAGGTTTTATTATCGTGACTACAGTTGCATTTTTATATTTTTTAAAAAATCAGTTAATCTGAAAACTAACAAAAGTCTCTGAAAAGACAAACCCTAATTAAACAGTTTGGCTTTTTGGTCTTGTCTTCCTGCTTCTTTCTGACATCACCTCCTGCTCCAAGCCTGCAGTGATGCTTGGGGACAAAAACACTCTGAAGTCCTGCAGACACCTGCAGACAGGAGCGGCGCCAGGGTTTTTGGCGCCCTAGGCGGGGGGCCTTCCCCACTCCCGGTCGTCGTCGGCCATTCTGCGGCAGGGCCCCGAGCGAGCGAAGGACCCGCCGCAGAATTGCCGCCGAAGACCCGGAGCGCGGAAGGACCCCCCGCCGCTGAATTGCCGCTGAGAGCGGCAAAATGCCACCCCCCCAAATCCTGGCGTCCTACGCGACCGCCTAGGATACCTAAATGGAAGCGCCGGCCCTGCCTGCAGATACTGGGATATGACTCACTCACAGCATGCATTGGTTTAAAGGGAGCATGGTCATTACATTTCTGCCTGTAGTTCTCCTCTCCCTAGGTGCCATCACTACAACAAACAAGATAAACTTCTTTGCAACACAAAGGGATTTGCTTCCTAAGGTTTTTTTGTAGGACTGTTATTCTCTGTCTGAGAGAACAACAGTCTGTCAAGTGCAAGAGATTTGCGCTGTTTGTCAAGTCACCACTTGTCGCTTAATATTCAATTTTCTTGATCTTCTTTGGGAAATTCTTTATTTTCAAGTGAGGAAAAAAAAATCCCTGAAAATACGCATTGGCTCGGAAAGGCCCTGGAGATTCAAATGTAAACAATAGTGAAAGACACTAACTATTAAACGGCATGAGGAGTTTAATTTTGTTCAGGAGCTTTAGCACTGATCAAAAAAAGGGTCAAAAGTATCCAATTACCTTTCTGATTTCTTTTTCACTTTCTTAACGGAAATGACAGTGTAATAAAAAATAGTGAAAATATCGTATCTAATTACAAAGAAGAGTAAATCGCTAAAATAAATTTAATTAAAGAGAAATTTAGAATTCAAGCTCTAGTTCTGTCAGTCTGGTGTAGATTAGAGCTACGGCTAAAGTTGACATAAGTTATGTCACTCAACTTAAACACCGGTGTAGACAGCGCTATGTTGGTGGGAGAGTTTCTCCTGTCAGCTTAGAACAGCGATACTAGAAAGCTGACAGTGGCGCAGTGACTTAGTAGCGTAAATCCCATTGAAAGTCACCTGAATATCCCACCTTGAGCTTTATTTCCTGGCTTCAGTCCCATACCAGGGGTCATGGTTACAAAAAAATTAACAATACCCCATCACATGGCAGAAGTCACTATCCACTGACTCCAATATGTGCTATTACACAGGCTTTCAAAGTTGGTTAAATTTAACAAATATTGTTTAGAATAAAATAATTTACTCTGCAGCGACATGAAAGGCTACTTTTGTCAGCTGGTGCCTCATATAAATCACATTAAAGTCAAAGAATGATTGAGTTTGGATAGTGTTCTTAGGCCTCAATGGAAAGACTCCTAGTGAGTGTAAATGACATTGTATTGGGGCCTTAGTAAGAATATCAGACTGGCCATCCTGGGTCAGACCAATGGTTGATCTAGCGCCAGAGGCTTCAGAGGGAATGAACAGAACAGGGCAATTTCAAGTGATCCATCCCAGTCATCCAGTCCCAGCTTCTGGCAGTTGGAGATTTAGGGAAACCCAGAGCATGGGTTTGTGACCCTGACCATTGATGGACCTACCCTCCAGGAACTTATCCAATTCTTTTTGGAACCCAGTTATACTTTTAGCCTTCACAACATCCCCTGCCAAATGTTGACTGTTCACTGTGTGAAGTACTTCCTTATGTTTGTGTTAAGCCTTCTGCCAATTAATTTCATTGGGTGACCCTGGGTTTTTCTGTTATGTGAAGTGGTAAACAACAGTTCCATATTCACTTTCTCCATTCCATTCATGATTTTATAAACCTCTATCACAGTGATCTCCATTTCCTCTGTCCTAATTGACAGCATCACATTGGAACTCCTGCTGGAAAGTGTCAATATAATGGCAACTCTCATTATATTGATGAAGATGAGAGAACAGCACCCTTCTCATTTAGAGAGGATACTAGGACTCCCAGAGTATCCAGAGCTGCAAGCACACTGTTAACTATGCTATGTCCTTTCCACTGTGATCAATACAGTTAGCTTCAGCATAATGAACTCCTTTTGACTCAAACTTCTCCTGACAGCATTAGACTTTACAGATCAGGCATGATTAATTTTACTTTCTCTCGGGTTCTTCAAACAAGAGCACCTGGGAAACCTTGTGTGTTGGTCCTTTCTGTGTCCTTTAAAAAAGAGCTCACCCTTCCTGGAGGCTTTTGAATTATGAAGATTAGTAACTTTTCTTTAGGTTATAGATCTGGTATGATTGATAACTCAGGCCTCAGTTCTGCCAGTCTTACATGTAGTAAGTAGCACCTTACTCATGAGTATTCTGATGGACTTCACTGTTACTACTCACATGAGCAAGTTGCTATATGTACTGAGTACACACAATCATGTTTTCCTACTACTCTATACAGTACACTACTCCCACCTGTTACATCTCCTTAATTAGAGCTAGATTGTATAAACCATTACATTGGTGAGCACAAGTTGACATGTAGAGCCCCACTGAAGTCAAAAAGATTGCTTGTGTGAGTAAATTCTTGTGTGAGCAAATGCTCACCAGTATGACCAAGTGTTTCACAATCTAGCCGTTCATACACAATTTGGGGTAGGGACTGCTTTTATTGTATGTCTGTACAGCATCCACCACAGTGGGACCCTGAGTAACCACATGACTGCAGTGCTTTAGATCTGTGGGTTGCTGATCTTGCCCTATGTAGTCTGCAAAATTAGAATAAGCATTTTCACTCTGGTTTTCTCCAAGAAGATGCCTGTGTTTAGTTTGAGATCCTAGGAGAGACAGCCTTGCAAAATGCTATTTTTAATTTATTTACCAACACTAGAAAGGGAACATTGTTCCAGATTCCTTGTTTACCCCTGGTTCTATTTATTTCCATTTATCTAGTTAATAAATTCATTGGAATCTTTTCAGATTAGAGAAAGCCATGTGTTGAGTTAGGGTCTTAAAATAGTCAATGTATTTAGGATTCAATATGGAATATGCTAATCTGTTATAGTTCACTAATGCCAACACAAAGATTATGAACTCTATATTTTATATCAGAACTGAAGGAGGCTCAGAGAATGCTCATAATATTAATTCTGAGATCCGATTCTATGGCTTTTTAATGTAAGGTTATGCTATTTCCTCTTTCACCTACAGTTCACTGAGTCCTGTACAGTATATTGATAGTCCTTGCTCATTCCCCACTGGGCAGTTAAGGCTGTATCACAAAGCCACCATAAGTAATTTAACACAATTGGCTGCCTCCACTGAGCACAAAAGACAGGGGCTGAGCTACAATGCTAAATTTTACAGAGTGACTTAGTCCCTCCCTAGAGAGTGCGGTTTTCTCAGGTAAGCGCTAAGGTCACTTGCAGGATAACATGGCTGCCTGAATAATCCCTGGTTTGTTAGCACAGCAGAGTTTTCAGCATCATCTACTTAAGCTTCAAAGACAAACATATGCAGCTGTAATGGACATGGTGGTAACCCCTTGGGTGTAATCTATTTCCACAACATATAAAACACACCATAATTATCTGCTTCACAGCACACATTTTAGTCCATAAAAAATTCTTCCTCTTGGCAGGATAAAACACACTGCAAACATGCATAGACCAAGCTAGAGAAGAACTACTGAATCTTTTCTCACAGACAGACCCACACAGTTTTAATACTACATTCCACAGCATATCTATCTCTATGCACATGAATCAAATAATTAGTCTGCACTTTCAAGTGGTTATCTGATTTTTTTTAAATTTAATTTCTATATTTTTTCATTGATTTGGAATGTTCCACCATCCTTATTATGTCTTATAAATTGCAATAAAATGACTGTCTACACTTGAAATTGTTGTTGTTTTACTGTACTTTCTTGCTTATTGTACAGCTGGTCAACGTTGTTTGACCAAATTTTTTTTCTGTCAGAAATGTAGTTTCATCTAAATCAAAATTTTCTGTAGGAAAATGTTGATTTTGACTAGATATTTAAAATTTTCTAATCAGAAAAAGTAAAATGAAAAATTTTGTTTTGAATAGGAAAAACCCACTTTTCCACATTTTGTTTTAAAATTCTTAAATGTGTTGAGGTTGTTTGAGATAAGCATGCAAAGCAAACCATTAATGTTTTTGTTTAAAAAGAGGTAAACAATTGTTTTTAAAGTTTTCAATTTTTAAAATTTCTTTAACAAACACTTTGTTTCATTTTTTTTTAATTATTATTTTGAGGTCTGTAGTATCAATGATTGGTAATAATTTTGCAAGTTTAACAAAAAGGTAATTTTAAGAAAAAGCAAAAATGGCAAAATTGAAGTATTTTAAATTGTTGACAGTTAAGTTGCTAAAGTGCAGATTTTTTTTTTTTTCTGAAATAACTTCTTGGGTAATCCCTCTTTGTTAACAAAATACCAGCTTAATTCAGGGCTGCTACTGCACTGACTGTGAATTGAATATCAAGCCACCAGAATGAAGGGCTCTTGCAACACCAAACTGTTCGGTGATTTCTCTGATTGTTTTGTTTTCAAAATGTTTTGTTGTTTTGTTTTTGCCCTCTTTGGGGGTTGCAAAGGGCTCAGAAATGCAAATGTAGTTCCAAAAGAACATCAATTTGTTGCTTCTTTTAAAAGGAGACAACAAACTTGGGTAAGAACACCATCAGGGCTAAAGATTTTTTTTCAAGTGTCCAAGCTTAACCACTAGTGCATAAAATTTTCATGGTTTGTGTAAATGTACAGCTTTAACTGTGTAAGTGGCAAACGAGAGGATTTCACATACACACCCATCTTTACCCATCCTGGGCATACAGACAAAGAAGTGATAAGAACTGGTTTGTTCTTCAGCATCTTACAAACGTATAACAGCAGCAGTTTTAGCTACAAATTAAGTGAGTTCTAAGTTCTTAGTGTAGTTAACATCTGGAAAATTTAACTGCAATTTTGGTAACATTTCATCAAGTAACATTTGTAAATCCCAGTTTTGGAATAAGAAATTTCCAAACCCTACACTATAATCAAGTACCTTTTTCTTTTCCTTTTTCCTCCCTATATGCTTGAGATAAAATAAGGTTTCTCTTAGTAACTGTGATTTTATGAACAAATGTCTGATCCTAGGCGGAATTCGTTCATCAAAAAGAGGGATTATATTATGATAATTGGTCTTACAAATTTATTCTAATTGTGAGCTCAACTGTAAAGGATGTGAAAGTTCATAAAATGTCACTATAACCTATAATAGCAAATGTTAATGGGAACAGGTGCAAAAAAATCCTGATAAAAATAACCCCAGAATTAGTCAAAACAGAAAAGTCTACTGATATAATTCAAGGACTATGACAAAATCATGCTTGGTAAAGACAAAAGATATGTAACTGAATTATAATGAACTGCAATTGGTTTGCTGGACATTAGGTCTAATTGGTGAACAAAATAATGAGGGGATGGGCTATTCCACCCATCACTCCCTTTTGGGGGGGGGGGAAACCTTAAAGAAAGACTTTTTGGGGAAAAATTAGAAAGCACAGACAAAGCTACTGGAGCGAGCTGCACCATCATGGCTGCCATCCCCATTGTTTACTGGGACCCCAAGCCTTCTTTGTCCTTATCCCGAGGGATGTGCTGACCAGATTGGGCCAGAGAGAGGGATTCAGATGACATTGGTATCCCTACTTGCTTGAGCTAAATCCTAAACACCTCTAAGATTAAGCTAAATAGGACTTTAGCAACACCAGCTCCAGCTCATCTCAGCTAACTTCTTCTCTTTTACCCCAAAGGACAGTTATTACTATCTTTAATACTAGGGTGACCAGATGTCCCGTTTTTAAAGGGACAGTCCTGTTTGGGGGGACTTTTTCTTATATAGGTGCCTATTATCCCCCACCCCGTCCCGTTTTTTCACAGCTGCTATCTGGTCACCCTATTTAATACCATCTAAAAGATTGTCAAACAAGGGTTTCCCCCCCCCCTTCTAATAACTCTCTTTAGCTAAAGGGAAAGTGAAGGGGTGTTGTTAAAATGAAAGCCTTACTTAATACTCTACATTTCAAATGCTTTAACTGTTTTTCCTACTTTTCTTTATCTTTAATAAAAGGTTAAAGGGATTTTGAATGGTGTGTTTGCCATGGTACTAAGCAGGCTCAGGTTTCTGTATAGCAAAATCTGTTTAAGACTGTTTAATATTGGACAGTGACTGGCTTATGTTAAGACCTTTGACCCATTTATTCCATGTAAATTAATATGACAGTGGTAAGATCTTCTGACTCTGAGATCTGATTGCAGAATCAGGAAAGCATTGCATGTTCCTGCAATAAAGAACATGTCATGATACAATAAATTATGAATATTTTAATTAGCAGTTGCAACTTAGTGAACATACACTGGTACAACGTACATTGTACATATTAAATCTACCCAGCTAACATCTGAGAATTAGTCCATTCTGAAGTAAAATACTGGAATCAAAAATATCTGCCAGAAACTATGGAAAATCCATTTTATTTTTATTGGACATGATGTGAATATGATATAGTTTCCTTACTAAATTAGATGATTAATTTGGAAACAGAGGTTCTCACTCCTCTAAAGCCATTATGACCATAGCCGTTTACCCAAACATCTGTTTTACTAAAAAAATGTTAATGGGCTAGAAGACATGAAGCTTTGCAGCAAAGCTTTGAGCTCGGGCAAAAGTTGTCACCATCTGTATTCTATACTATATATCTTAAGAGGCCACAATCCACCTAGTAACATTTACAAAAAAGTTCTGTAGTTTTCTGTTCTACAGTAATGGGCCAAAACATGTTTATATGCATTCAATCATATATAAAAACACACAGATATACTGAGCCCCTGTCATATTCACACACGCTGTAGGAACTAAAATGACGCTTAGAACTAGCTGCCAATCAAACAAGTTATAATCACTCCATCCCTGGAGCTCTCACTGCAGAAATAGAAGGACAATAAAAAGGAAAGGCATCACCATGACTCACCTTGCCAATGATGCTTGTAATCACACATGCGTGACAGGGCAATCATCATGGCACAATACAGAGGCAGAATTGCTGCACAAAGCCGCCAGCTTTTCCCTCGGCCATTTTCAGTGAAGCAGTGCAACTTTCCAGCTAAGTAGAAGGTCGTAAAGCCAAGGCCTGAAAATGCAACTGCCGAAGAAAAACACAAAATTACAGAATCATGTCATTAGCAACTAGAGTAAGAGTGTGATCCTGGGAGGTTTAACAGAGAAGTGAGAGGCCTGTGATATACAGGAGTTAGACTAGATGAGCGGGTGGTGCCTTCTGGCCTTAAACTCTATGACTTTATAACAGGTATCTTTCTACTGCAAGAAGGTCTTGGTCCTAGTAGGTGCTCAGCAGTACCTTTTAGGTTAGAGGCCACTAGAACCAGAAGGATACAAAAAGCACAGACCAGGCATCCTGAACCCAGATAAACTCTAATGACCATATGGAGGAGCCACAGGTGCACAGTACCTGGTGGGAGGCACCCAGCGCTCTTTAGGCTCAGGCCCATGTCCACTGTGTAAACCAGGAGCAATCAATTATTTTCTGTCAAGGTCCAAATTTCTCAGTCAAGAAATAGTCAAAGTCCAGACTCCAGAGAAAATAATACAAAACTAATAACAATAATGATAATAATAAGTAAATAAAAAGATTTTGCCCTCTGTTAAAAAGCATCTGGCAGTCCGGACAGAGGCAAAGTGTGTGTGTATGTGCGCGTGTGTGTGAGGGATATATGGGGTCACGTGCCCCCCCCAGATTTTCTGCTTGGGCTGTACTGAGCATGCTCAGTAACACCACTGAAGCTGACTGTCCTCACTCTGCCCCTCCCCCCCACTATTGGTAGGCACAGGTCATCTCTGGGTCCGGATTTAACCCGCGGTTTGCCTATTGACTACCCCGTAAACCCGACACACACAATCATTGAGAAGCTTGCATGGTAATAACCCCAGCCTTCATCTTAACAGTGTTGATATATCTTGGCTATTTTAGTTATAAAAAATTAACCTTCCTAAACAGCTGATTTTTAAATGTTTTTTTGTTAAAAGGCAATAGTGACATTACAAATCTTAGGCTCAAGCCTACAAGTGCTAAGCTGTGGGTACTCAGTCCCATGCAAGATTGGGCCTATTATTAATACAGGCTTTCCATATATGTGATATACATCTATACAGGAATACAAGGTAATGAGGTTGAGTAAATATTTCAGAATAAATCCACCTGCCTTTCAAAGATGTGCAGCTCGCACATAACCCACCAAATCCCAGAATACTGTGATATCTCATTTTTTAAAATCTTTTCAGTAAAGCTTTCTTTAACAGTGAACTCTTTTCCTCTGGAAAAACCAGATCTCCTATCCAGTATTACATATTTATCTTTTGCTTTATGGCATCCATTCCAATAAGCACTTAAGCATATGCTTAACTTTAGGCACAAGGTTAAGAGTTCTGATGGACTTTCCAGCATAGATCCCAGTTCATGATTGATGGTGTAAAAGGATTCACTCATATAAAGATCTTTTGAAATATTTAAAAGATATTATTGGGTTCCATTTACTTGCTTCTGTATCACATTCTTAGCTAGCAGTTATGACAGACTCCAAATGCCAAGTTTCTATATACTGAATGTTTTTATACGGATTGCTGTTCACATTCCAGATAGTTGGTGATGGATCTGGGGCAGTGATTTAACCAAAAATAAATAAAAAAATTTACTTTTTAATTAAAAACATGTATCTTATACATTTTAAATGTTTGTTGTTGTAGTAAATGTACTGCTGATGAAAGGTGTGGAACAGACAGCACTGGAAAACAAAGTCTTTTGTTGATCCACAAAAAGGGTACAGAGAGGCTCACCTATAAGCCTTAACCATGGTCTGGAAGGACCAACTGCAGGAATGAGAGCAGAGTTCACTCTCTAGACATCTGATCCAAAGCCCATTGACATGAATGAGAGTCTTTCCATTGACTCCAGTGAGTGTCGGATCAGATCCTTGTATTCATTTCCCAGTCCTGTAAATTGCTGAGTACCTTCTATAAGGGCATGTCTACACTTACCTCCGGAGTGATAAATTGACTGCCGAGCGTTCTCCCGTCGATGCCGGTACTCCACCGTAGCGAGAGGCACAGGCGGAGTCGACGGGGGAGCGTCAGCAGTCGACTTACCGCAGTGAAGACACCGTGGTAAGTAGATCTAAGTACGTTGACTTCAGCTATGTTATTCACATAGCTGAAGTTGCATAACTTAGATTGATCCCGCCCCTCCGCCCCCCCAGTGTAGACCAGGCCTAAGATGATGAAGGAAGTTGCAACTAATTAATTGATAATTCCACAAAACTTTAATATATTGGTTTCACTCTGATTTGAGGTTATGATTCTAATTCTATGTATGCATGTGTCTAGTGAAAAGCAGTCTAATACACTGCAATTATGTAAGTAAATGGAGTCCTGAATATTCATGGCGTAGCTAATAAAAATAATTGTAAAGAACTACCTGTGTACCTCCCCGTGACATTTGTTATGCGTTTGTCACTGTAAGAACTAGACATTACTCATTTATTGACACATGAACATAAGGTAATAAGTCATGTTCATATGATAAAAGCCACTGATCCTGCTCTTGTTGAAATCAGAGGCAAAACTCCCATTGATCTTGGATCAAACACAGATTTGTTTTCTAAACTTATGCTTAGGCCTTTCAAAATGTCCTTCTGCACATACTTTCCATCGCTAAATGAAACAAAGTAATGACCTTTGCATTCTGCAGATGAATCTATGGAATAGTCAATTTTAGTTGATACCACAGTGGAGCATTTTCATAAATTTCAACCATGCAGACAATTGAATGTAATTACTGAAGACTTGTTTTTCACCTTTAAACCCACAAATGAATTGTTTCTTTTGAACAGAAGTAGCAGATAGAGATGGGATGCATACTAAGCATCAAACTGGGGCACCAAACACTTAGTTTTCGGATAGCCCCCTTCAGCCTATGGTGATTTCACTACATTCTTCCTGGCTGAAGAAGGTGGGAAGTGGACTCTGAAATGCACTTCAGCACAATGGAAGGTCTCCTGCAGATAGTAAACCTACTTGTTTTTATTATTATTATTTTAAAAAAGCTATAAGGATGTGGGTATAGCCTGAAAGTGCCCAAACCAATGGATAGTAAAACATTCTTTCTATCTCTGAAACTGTGGGTTGGGACCCCCTTTGAATGGGGTCTCCAGGGCTGGCTGACACTTGCTGGAGCCCGGGGCTGAAGCCCGAGCCTCACTACCCAGGGCCGAAGCCAAAGCCCAAGGGCTTCAGCCCTGGGGGGGCAGGACTCAGGTTGCAGACCCCCTACCTGGGGCCGAAGCCCTTGAGCTTCAGCTTTGGCCTCCCTGCCTGGAGCAGTGGGGCTTGGGCTTTGGCCCCCCGACCCAGGACAGTGGGGCTTGGGCGGGCTCAGGTTTCAGTTCCCCCCTCCTGGGGTCGTGAGTAATTTTTGTTGTCAGAAGGGGGTCGCGGTGCAATGAAGTTTGAGAACTCCTGCTCTAGAGGAGGTGTTGTGGTGGTTTCCTCCCGTGCTCAAAGCAAGTCTTAACTTGGTGCATGCTTTTTATCTTCTTTACTTGATGAGCTAAGTGAGATGTGTAATAATAGGTATGGACTAGCAGGGTATGAAACAGATTCTGACCCAGATGTTCACCACCACTCAAATGTAATCAGGTTCCTTTTTTGAAATAATAATAAAAAAGAAGGTTTACTTTTTTTCATGTCTCTCCTTCTCCCCCTCACCCTCCAATTTCTGTGTGCCTTTGCACCTCCTGGTTCTTTCCATGACTGCAAAAGGGAAAGCTGAAATATGTTGACAATGATATTTCCTTCAATCCATCTGGAAGCACAAAATGTAATACATTTCACCAGCGAGCCTCCACTTGTGAGATTTGCAGCCCCTAGCAGTTCAGAGAGTTTGGATAAACATCTGAATTTTGTACTGATTTTCTAAACCTAGCCTCTGAACAGTGGAGAAGTACCCTTGTGCAGCAGCAATCGCTCTTTGCAATGTAGGTCTTCAGGTCACCCCTCCTCATATTCAGAACTGTTGTGGTTTGAAAGACAATTCCAATGCAGAAAAAAGCGGCAAACACAATTAACATTTTATTCTGGGGAGCAACGTATTTTCCCCACAGTAAAAACTCCAGCGAGGTGTTGTTTAGCATCTCTTAGGATCACGACCAACATTGAAGTGAAAAAAAAAAAATTTAAATATGTTCATATGTTAATGTCAACCCCTATATTTTATTAATTCAATGAGAATATAAAATTCACCTGGTATTCAGAAAAACAGATTTCTGGGTGCCTGTCTCAATATCTGCACATTATAAGGGGATGCGGGAACAGTCTTACTTTCCATACATCATGCAATTAAAAAAATGGGAGTTTCTTCCTTAATTTCTTTAATCTAAACCTTTTTATTTTCAGGCATGTAATTTTCACATTCATAGTGCAAGAAACATTGGGTTCTATTAAGATGCTCCAGGGCCATAGATTTTTGCAAAGTCAGTGAGACAAATATTAATCATAGCACAGCAGTACCCACCAAAAAAAAAAAAAAAATGCACCGCATTGCATTTCAACTAACTTAATTAGCCCCTAAAGACAAAGGACCTAACCAAAGGTTTTTTTAGATAAGATCATTATTAGTTTCAAAAAGGGAATGGTAAGTACAGAACTGCCTTGATATTTAGCATTTGCATAGGCTGTATCTTCTCAGAGAACTTAGTGACAGAGGGGTATCAAAATTTGGAGAGTCTTTGGGCAGATCTACACTACAGCCTAAGTCAAATTATTTATGTCTCTCAGGGGAGTGAAAAAACTCCTCCCCACCACCTGAGCGATGCAAATTCTGCGCTTTCCACACTAGTGTTATGTCAGCGGGAGATGCTCTCTAGCTGACATAGCTTCCACCTCTGGAGTAATTATGCCGACAGGAGAGCACTCTCCCGTTGGCATAGTGTGTCTGGACCAGATGTGCTGCAGCTGCGCTGATGTAACTAACGCTGTAGTGTAGAGTTGCCCCTAGCTTAAAATACATTACAAAGTAAAACAAAGGGAAACAACTCATCAACTGAGGTTCAAAACCTTCTTAATATGGAATTC